TGGACCCATTCTGCACCGTACAACATATTGAAATTTCCACGTTGGCGGCGTCCATAGCGCTTGTTACCGTTGGAAGTTGGGAAGTTGATGATAGTTCACTCAATTGCTCGAGCTCAATGGAATGCATTCAGGCGCGGGATGCTGGGCCGCCGATAAGCGGACAACACCACTCGCCTTGAATTCCACACCCCAGGTTGTTTTTGTTCTTTGCATGTCATATGCCTGACGCATCAAGAAGACGAGAATTATCCCTGTCTGTTACACAGTCTCCCATTCGATTTCAGGGGCCAATTTCTGCCCTGCCGTGCCACTTGAGCGATCTTGGGTCGCCGCGCCGAGTCAGCAGAAGTCATTAGCCCGCCTTTGACATTTGAGAATGCAGTCCCGGTCTTTTTGTGCTTCTAAGTAGCCGGTTCTCCGTGCTTTTCTCGAATTGTCTTATGTGCCAGACCGCTCCTGTTCGTTCGTTCCAAAGATATGCAGAGATGTCCAATGCTGATTCAAGATCCTCAATATTCGGTTTATTTCTATTGCCGCAAAGCTGTGACTTTCGTCAGCCCCCGCACCATATACTGCGCATGCAACTTTTTGTGCCTTGCAGTCTTTGATTCAAGACGTCACCATTCATATGGCCGTTCACGGATAAAGTCTTTCAACAAAGCGGAAGTGGAAGAGACAAGCTTTCTTACCCTAACAAGCCTCCCAAGCCTCCCAGAGGGGATGACCAAACAGCTCAAAGCTATCGGAACGTTATATCCTCGTTACGACAGATTCGATCGAGCTTCAAACAAATGAATCACGTCTTGAGTTTGATAATATATGGCTGTAATGACCGAAACAGCTCGAATGAATGTCGCAAATTGTGATAGCTCCGTAGGCACTCATTTCTCATTGCATCTTGTCGAATAGATCTTGTACCTCTGCTGCTGCAATCACTTTACCTCAGCCACCCAGCCTCCTGATATCGGTGGCGCATATTCACAAAGGACTAGCTTTGGAGAAGGGAGGTAATTTGCCGCATTCACAAACGGAAAAGAAGGCCTGCGGCATCTGACAGTGAAATGAGTCTAGATGAGAAGTTGAAGGTCTCACGTATTTTGTTTCTTGATCATGAGTATACTGTGGCGCTCGAAAGGGGAGCAGTAGCTCCGCTGAAGATGAAAGTCGGAACACTGCAGGATCAGCTTCGCAGTGCGTCTCATTGTTCCTCTTATAGCTTTGTCGTATCAGCCAGACCATTGCAGCCCAAGGAGAGAAAGAGGAAAAAGGTCCGAGAGCCCCCAGGATGACCGATAGTCTCGCCACGGGACACCGGGGAAGGTCGTCCGGGTGGAGGAGGGATGCAGAGGGCTGGACCAGTCTCCGACCATTCAGCAATCTTTCTAGTTTTTCGTCTTTTCAGCCAGAGCGGGGTTCTTCCGGGAAAAGGAGCGAATTGGCGTTCAGAAACTGCAAGACGGGCGGAATTGGGGGGTTGGGATTGGCGACAAGTGGAGGGATGATGGTGGGTGAGAGGCAGGAGGGGGGTGGGAGAAAATGCCTCCCCGAACAATCCCAATGCCCAATGGGTCTATCTCGCCCATCCCCAAGCCCCCCCTTTCCCCTCATGGCCTTGCTAAGGCTCATTTCCTTTGATCAGAGTTCATTCCGCCGGATGGAAGACTCTCCGCGGAGGGCTATATAAGCCCTCTCCTCGTCCTCCATCGTTCGGGCCTGTTCCTTCTTCCGTTTCTATCTCTCCAAGTCTCTCGTCTGCTTCCCTTCAACTCGTCGGAGTCATTCATCGACTCTCTTGTATCTGCCCTCTGACATACCAGCCCCTTGATAGGCATCAGTCGTTGAACCTTCTTTGTCATTGAACCCACTGTTTCTATTCTCCTTCATCAGCTCCAAACCTCTTTTCACAATGGCGACACACCACTATCAGTTTCCCGCTCTCCCCATCAACGTCCCCTCTAAGGCTCCAGCTCAGGCTAGTCTTTATCCTGTCGGTCGAGTGTCGGGATCACCTCCTGATATCTCCGACGCCAGCACCACGGCAGGAAGCCGTACCTCCGCTGGATTCAGTTATGCATCCGGAAGCATTGGCGGCGATTATGACTCCAGCTCTGCCTCATACTCTGGAGTCGATGTTGTTGATGTTTTGAATGATCGCATGCAGGATATGTTTGACCCAACACCATTGGATAAGGGATTGGCGATGCAGGCGCAAGCGTGAGTGTCTAAACCCCGCCGCGGCGAACCCCGATTCGCTGGCCTTGAAACCCACAGAATTAGAAACGGGCAGCATAAATCTGGGATTCCAGAAATGAAGGGAGGCTAAAAATTTACCCCATCAGTTCCGGTCAGTTGAATGCGAAGCAGCGCGAGCTGATCGAGCTGCAAGCTCTTGCACAAAGGCGCCTAAAGGGCGTGCGCGCCAGTTTTGCCGATGGCATCAAAGTCGCTCGAGAAACCAAGCGGGATTTGGAATGGACCCAGAAACGCGTCAAGTAAGCTGCGAACTCATTCCCTGACATTTTTCGTCTTGCTCCGTATGCGACTGTCGTCAACGGATTCCGCTCCGCTGGCCAGCTGCGCGGACGTCCGCCGCGCTCCGCCGTCAAGATGGTTCTTGGCAGCGTTCAGTGTCCTACTGGTCCCCTTGAAACATCTTCCGCGTGTGGTTTACAGGCGCGATCTACCCCGATACTAGAGCTTCAGATGCTGACTAACGAAACAAGTGCTTTGAAGGCCAAAGCTGAACATGCTCATCCCGATGAGTATCGGCGTGCGGCCAAGAAATACACCTTCGACGATAACTGAGCGACAAAAAGGGATCGTGTTGGGAAGTGGCCGAGACGAAACTGCGAGGCAAACACTCCCGTCGAGATCACGAAAGCTGGCTTTCCGGTAAATTGGCTTCTATGGGTTTTGAATTTGGCGTGCTTGATTTCGGGATGGATTTTTTCGATTTGCGATACCGTTTAGCTGGGAGGGTTTCTGGGATAACCCCTGTCGTCGATGTTCCGTTGGCGGCGCAATGTAATATTGAGCCTGCTGGTCTTTGGTGGGAATTTTCATATTCGGCAATATATCTTCATTTTTCTTGCAGATTCGCGACTGGTTGCATTTCCGGGTAAAGGGGCGGGGGAGGTAAGAATGCGTGATCTATGGCTCCGGATAGACTGCGGATGCGCAAGAAGGTGCGGCCGCGACGTTTCAGATTGACATGGGGAAAATGAAAACTGCCCATCACATCACATCCTGTGACGACAAGCGCCAAGTCATGTGCCAGGCCCAGGTCAGCTGGGGTCACGATACGGGCACGGTCCTCGGTGGTATGTGGTAGGCGCATACCAGTGAAGCAGCAAGACTGACGCCAAGAATGCTATGAAGATATGGATAGATCGAGGACACGAACCTCATATCCTTATCTTTGCAATTCCACCCCAGTCATCCTGGATTCTGTGATGAGATGCGAGGAGCAGTGTGACCGGTCAGTTCCGCTGTGCCGACTCCGCCAGCGGACAGGAAACGCTCGGCCGCCCCCGCTCCACCCCCTGTTCTGAGATGATTTCCTTGCCGCTTTAGGCGGAGACTCGCCGAAGAGCTCGGGGACGGAGGCGTCGCCTGCTGTCATTGTGGCACAGCGCTTCCAGCCACAGTGTACGCACACATTGGGTGGATCGATTGGAAAGTGAGATGCCGTGTATATGATGTGCAGCGAGCGCATGAGCCGAGATTGCCCCTGACGCGTTAGATCACGATTAGCGTCCAGTCTCACTGGTGTAGGAACCCGAGCTTACTTGAAGTCATGAGCCTGTAACTATAGAGCCAAGATTCAGGGGTGCAGTAGTTTCCGGTGTATTTGTCGCGTGGCATTGCTTGCACCCTACCTCACAGACAACTCAATGGGAACGTGTGCCTTCTGACAAATCAGGCAAACATGAGGCTCACATAGCCAAAGTGGTCCGGTCCAATCAGCAACTCCAACACGCCAATGATTTTTGAAGTGAACAGCAGTGGCAGACGCCCCTCTGACTGGTCTGGTGGCTTGGATGCGTGTAGGACCATATCGCCAGTTTGCGTAGAGATAGATATTCAACAGTACTTAACTCCTGCAGCGCAGACATATGAAGCCCTTTGACTCTTGTAATGCTAGCCCAATGTCTTGCTTGTACCACTGAAGTTGGTGGGTAGTTACTGAGGCGATCCGAAGTTGTCGGGCGTGGTGGGACTAGAGGAAATGAACCCCCGGATAAAACCCTTCCGTAAGATTGGATTGAAAGCCGGATCCTGGTAATGTCCTATTTCAGGATATGAACATGTGAGTCATGAAAGTGTATTGTGTGCATGTTGATCTGGGAATCACTAAGAGGTAGACTGTTGATGATTCAGTGGCATGCTACTTACCTTGTTCAGGGGCTAAAGAAGCTGAGCGTGAAAAGGAGGTATTACTACTTTCGGATTCAGCCTATTCGTCAAACACCCCTATCGAAGACTACAAATATCATTTCTCTTTGAATGTCAGGGAAATTAATTGTTATCAGCCATTAGATATTTCCCCAATATCTTGACCCGAGGATTGAAATGTTCACTTTGCCTGTATAGGTTCAATGAGAAAGCTGATCGATCTGCGCTACAGAAAGTGCCATAACAGAAGGCATACAGCAATAAACATGAGCGATAAGATATCTGATCAATAGGGCACCAAGTTGAATAGCATAATTGTTCTCTGTGACTTGCATTTAAACCTTTACAGGATTCGAATTCGTAACATCACGTAATTAAGGTCAGTAAATAGCTAGCTCCCTCGGGCTGCAGTAACCATGGGTGATAATTCCATCCGAGACTGGGAAGCGAGCATGAACCAACTAAGAATTCTAGCTTCATAGTTGGTTAGACATTCCTATTGTTGATAGGGATGCTAGAAGGCTTCAGAAATCACGTCTGCATGTGGTCGATTAGCAGCGAATCATCAAACAAAGTATAAACTACCAAATGATGTAGAGAATAACCTACCAGTACCGCGAAGCACATGTGGTCAAAATAGGTTTAAGGCCCTTCCATGGGCTCTCGACAAAGACGGGCAGGAAGATCACTAGATCATTGTGTTGATTCTTGACTCCGATTGACCATTTGAGCAAGTCATTGTGACGAGGAAAACGGGTGCCATTAGGCGCGGTGTAGCAAACAGACCCAGTCCGTGGCTTCTGTCTGCTTTCGACAGCTTTCTTGGTGGGCTCAGTAGGCTTGAGCGTCTGTGCTGCGGTGGGAGTCGGACCATTGAGGTTTTGTTTCTGCTGGCTTTCATCACTGGGCTTGGATGTCTTCGCAGGCTTGGATGTCTCCACCGGCTTGGGTGCTCTTCCTGCAGACAAATTCGAGATGCGAGGGTGGTGCAGCTCGTTAGCCTCAGCGGATTTGCTTTTAGAGTTGTGCACAGAGATAGAGGCCTCTGGTGTTGTGGGACTAGAGGAGCTAGTACGTGATTTCTGTTGTGATTTGTGCGGAACGTTGGCAGGATCAGCAACCGATTTGGATAACTTCATATCAACCGCATGAATAGTGTTGAATCGATTGCTAGCGCTGACGGTAGATTGAGCGTAGTGGTCTAGAACATGCATCCATCGCCAACGCGTTAGAGAGGAACATACCGCCATGTAGAACTTCATCCTGAATGTTGAAAGTACTGTTTGAACTCACGAGGATGGAGAGTATTGCTCTTCGAACAAACCTGCTGGGAGTCCTTGGCGTTTGTTCTGGACTGCAGACAATGAATTGGTTTCTCAGCAGCGACCGTAGCAGCTGTCAAGCTCGCAGAATGTGGCAAGTGGTCAACCTTCTGTGCCGGGGCGTGGGGAAAAGGAGTGCATTCCTTGTTCGCGTTCTCTCCCTGGAAGGAGGCAGCGTGAGCTTTCCAATCTTCATACAAGGAAGAGGTGCGCAATTTAGAATGCCTGTGAGTGGGTATTCCCTGTTCTTTGACTGGAGCAGCCTGAGGAGGTCGAAAAACAGTCTGTTGGGACGGTACTTCGTAGTTCTTCAGAGTCTCGGGAGCCCATTCTTGCAAAAACTCATATTCCTTCTGTGACGGTGCTCGCTTCAGGATTTGCTTGGGTTGGACAGCAGCGGAAGGCATGATGAACTGCTGTAACATATGCTTGTTTCTGGTTCTGTGAGGGGATCGGTGATGGAAGTGGAGAGGACTGATGCAAATAATGGTTGTCGAAGTGTTGAAGTAAGGTTGTACCCAAAATGGTGGAGGGTGGGGGGTTTTGAACCAGTGGCTAGAGGTCTAATATGTGAAGAAGCGAGAGAAATCGAGAGTAGTGAAGTGGTGGTTTCCTCACACGGCATAAGTAGGAACTTAGTGAATGATTTAAACATGGCAGGGAAGACCAGATAAACTCCAGGCTGCAAGTATCTTCCTCCTGACTGAAGGTGAAATAATTTTAGACTTATATTGACATTGTCACTTTGAATTATTCTACCTTCACTGTACACAAATATACCAGTCTCATTGGCCATAGCTCCTGCTGACTCTATGCAAAAGTGTGTTCCTCCTGAATTGCACGGTTGATGACACGCACAAAACGTCCTACCTTATCGACATCCTGCTTAGCTGTTTCAATTCCCAAAAGCACCTTCTTGACACCAACGCCGATAGTCTTGCGTTCAGAGATGTCGTCGAGACCCGCTAGTGCTTGCTCAATCTCCTGCGCATCGAAAGCTTCGGATTTCTCAAGGATATATCTCAACTCCTCGAATGTCATAACATTCGGAACCATGATATCCGCATTGAAGGAGTTGTAAACATCCAACTGCTTCAACACAGCTCTCTCCGTGGTAGTTGCCAGGACCAGGAGGCGTCGGCCCTTGCTAGGTTGCTTTCTCAAGCACACCATTAACGTTTGCAAGATGGCGTTGCTGAATCGAGGGCCAATAGGCACCCACTCAATAAGGCGCTCGATGTTGTCAACAACGACAACACTCGTACGACTTTTATAGGCATCATCGAAAATCTTGGTGATGTGCTGAATCTTGGCCATTTCACTATACCCGACCATGTCCTCGGGACTGATCAACTTGATGAAGGGGAAGCCGGAGTCGATGGCGATCCGAGCAGCAAGAGCAGTCTTTCCACTTGCGGTCGGGCCGTGCAACAAGACAGAGAACAGAGGCGAGGATTCGGCATTGCTGACTTGTTTCACGAAAAGCTCTCCTTCCTTAAGCATCTCATTAATGCCTGGGGAGAAGTGAATAATGCCGTACTGAATGCGACTTGACAGCTCTTCCTCGGAGACACCAAATGCCGGCTTGACTTCATCAAGTGCGTGGTGGAAATCAGCACGGTTGACCTTCATGTTTACAACATCATCACTGACGTTAGCCATCGTGCCAACTTTGATATGCCGAGAGAACGCGAATGAAGATGCGGACTTGACAAGACCGGCAATTTCAGCACCAGAAAAGTTCTTGGTCAGCTGAGCCAGTTCAGGCAGGTCGACATCATCGTCCATCACACTGTTGTCGCGCATCTTCTGGGTATGGATCTTGAGGATCTGAGCTCGGCCTTTCTCATCGGGAAGGGAGATTTCCATGTGAACTTCAAGACGACCAGGACGCAGGAGTGCTTCATCAATCATATCCTTTCGGTTAGTCATACCGATGAGTAGGATGTTGTTGAGCTGGTCGACACCATCAAGCTTCGAGAGCAGCTGGTTGACCACGCTATCTCCGACTCCAGTACCGCCACCAGCTCCACTACCACGCTGCTTACAGACAGCATCAAGCTCATCGAAGATGATGATATGAAGGCCACTCTCCTCGCCCTTCTCCTTATACTCCTTCTCTGCATCCGCAAAGAGTTTTCGGATATTCTCTTCAGACTGACCGACGTACTTGTTGAGCACTTCTGGTCCATTGATGACCTTGGGTTCTCTAGCGTTCAACATCTTTCCAATTTGCCGAGCAATCAAAGTTTTACCTGTTCCAGGAGGACCATAGAGCAGAATACCCTTGACATGCTGAAGACCCAATTTCTCAACAAGCCCTGGGGGAAAGATTCGAGACGCGAAGGCACGACGGAAGATAGTGCTGAATTCTGAGTCGAGACCACCGATGCCCATATTCTCGAACTTGAAATCAGGTTGGATGATAGAGTTTGCGGCGGGCCGACGGTTTGAAGCCTTCAAATTGATACCGGTACGAGCGTCCTTGAAGAAGGTGATTTGAGAGTGTCTTGTAAGGATACCTCTGGCAATAGGGCTGGTCTCGACCTGTCCACCATTGGGGTCAGGGGTGCCGGAGGACAGATCAACGCGTTGAACGGTCTTGATTGTCAACAAAAGAGGGATGCTTCGGTGATCCATCAAAATCTTTTGACCGGGTGCGAATATTTGGTTTTCAAAATTCTAATTCTGTCAGTGATCGCAGTACAATTAAGTTGGGACGGGGGAATAAATATACCTTAATCACGACGCTGGCCAGCTCGTCCTGGTCATATGGAGTCTCGACCCTCTTCTTGCCAGCGAATCCTACTTCGATATCGGTTGATCCGACGTATGCCTGACCACCCTGGCCGAAGGGATCATAGATCTGCACTTGCACTGAGTCCGTGAAAGCGATACCAGCCCAAGTTCGCTGAGGATCCGACATGCTGATATGACCGGGTGGGAACCCATCCAGAGGACGCGCAGAGAGAACGTAAAGGTCGTTGATGAGAAGTAGAAGGTCGTGTCCATCGCGAGAGGGAGGGAAGTCCTGGGTTGAAACGGCGACTCTAAGAAAACTGTCAGAAGGTAGGACTTGACCTCTGATTGGCTCAAGTCATACAGATTTCCAAAGGTATACACATTGTCCGGGCTCTTTGCAGGCCGTAGCGTCCATGTTTGACCGGAGCTGGCGGGCTTCTCACTCCGTGGCGCCATGTGTGATGGGCTAGGTCTGCCCATAGACTGCGGTGGGGCTCCGTATCCTCCGGGACTAATAGACAGTATGAGTTAGCAAGTCATTATTCGAAAGAAAGCCTTGCGTTCTTTATATGCGTACCCTGCAGCAGGATATCCACCCGGCTGGTTAGGGGCCGTGTAGCCGTCACCACGCGAGGGGCGAGAGCCGAAAGGGTTGGGCACAGAAGGGTAATTATTGCGATTAAACATGTTTGCTCAAGAATGTAAGAGTTATTGCGCAGACAGCAGACGGGATATAGAAGTGGACAATGGCTGACTGCAGTTGAGCGCGGGGGAGGGGCGATTAGAGTGATGCTGCCGGCAGCTGTGGCACAAGTTCAACTATTATGGAATGAAGTTTCAACGGTATAGACAAAGTGAAGAATGACCTTGAACAGCTGACTGCAAAGTAGAGTGTTTGTACGGTGGGATATTATCAAGTATGAGAGAATGAGGGTGGTAGAAGTGGCGGTTGTAAGTTGGAGGAAGCTCCTTTCGCGACACATGGACGTAACCGCCAGTTAAGGTACCGTTGCTTAGTCCATCGGCCCGGCGGACTTCCGTTTTCGCCGATCTCTATGACGACTCTTGTGCTCGAGCAATCCATCTTCCCAGTGTAGTAAATACACTTGCTCATCGAACCAAGATGCCGCTGTGAGTCTTTCATCCTCGTTTCTCTTCATTTTTGGGTTGCCAACACTAATATGAATCCTCATGATCCAGACACCTCCTCGGCAAGAAGTCATGGAACGTCTACAACCCAGAGAACATCGCTCGCGTCCGGCGCGACGAGGCGCAGGCCAAAGCTCGGGAGGAAGAAGAGGAGCGTCGCATGCAGGAGGTCGATGCCGAGCGAAGAATCCAAATACTGCGCGGAGAACGACCCTCAACCCCCCCTCCACCGCCGCCGGAGCCTTCTGACTCTTTTGCCAACAAACACAAGTCTTACTCGGAAGATGCAACGAGGCGCAGGAAAAGAAGACGACTGGCTGGGGAGAACGACACGGACAGAGATATCAGATTGGCCCAAGAGGATGCAAAGATAGCCCTAGCCACCCAGGACCAGCAGGCTCGTGTCCGTTCAAGCGATGCGCCCCTTCACGATAGCTCCGGGCACATTGACCTGTTTCCTCAGGGAAAAGCCCGCAAACCAGTTGAGAAGAACGCGGAAGCTGAGAAGGAATCTGCTGAGAAGCAACAAAGACTCGAAGATCAATACACAATGCGCTTCTCCAATGCAGCGGGTTTCCGGCAATCGGTCAATCAAAACCCCTGGTATTCATCTTCCCGAAATGATACACAACCATCAGAATCCATGCCAAGCAAGGATGTCTGGGGCAATGAGGATCCTCGAAGGAGAGAACGGGAAAAGGCCAGGTTGGATGCCAACGACCCTCTAGCAGCGATGAAGAAAGGTGTGCAACAGCTCCGGTCTGTTGAGCGCGAAAGGAATAGATGGAACGAGGAACGAAAACGAGAGCTTGAGGAAATGAAATCCACGGAAAGGCGCCGGTCGCATCCCCGAAGAAGGCGGTCACCGTCGCTGGATAGCCTTGAGGGCTTCAGGCTTGATGCTTCTTCAGACAGCCGTCAGAAACATCATGAAAGAAGCTCCCGTCGACATCATGATCGCAAGGACGGAAGTCGAGATCGCTCGCGTCATCGACATTCGCAGCCTAAGTCAGACTCTCATTCTCGTCGCCATGACCGCCATAGACGGGCGGAATCAAAAACTCGAGTGAGATGAATTAGAGCATTCACAATACGAGCAATGTGCATATTACTCGTCATTATACGATTATGGTGAGGGCAACTCTCCTCCCAGCATCTTTCACAGCCAGTTACGAGAGAAAGGTCACCGTGTTCAAGCTTGGAAGTCTTCGTGACCAACGCAAACACAAGTCTATTATTCTTTATCGCACTGAAGAGATTTTTGAGATTGAGATATATGGTATTTCATAGAACCATGACCACCATGCGTGTTTAGCTCACTGCAAACTCCACAGCTGAGAGCCCTTCTCATTTTCAGTATCCCACTCAATACTGATGTCCAATGACCGGGATCCTGCCTCCTTCTTCTGGTAACCGACCTTACCAGTGATAGTTTGGCCTTTCTTAAGGGGAGCAGCCTTCTTCTTCTCCTGATCGATGAGGCAGATGGTTTGCTGCCAGTGTGTTTCAGTGCCGTGAGGCCCGGTGGTAAAAGCAACAATGCCCTTCTTCTGCATATCAGAGGG